AATGAGAAAAGGTAACATTTTATTTCTCTACATAAAACATATCTAAAATAAGAAATTAATTACATATCTAAAATAGAGAACAAAACAACCATCAACAACAACCTCTTAAAGTTATTGAAATTGAAGATTTAAGCTCATATTCAAACAATAATCTACCACTTTTTCAATGCACAATAAGTGCAATCAACATCCGAACATCTTACATTTTGGTAAAAATAAATCCCTTATAACGTTTTAATCATAAATTATTACATTATCTATTTACTTTCCTTTTATGTTACATGCATAAACTTTTCTGCATATACAAAATGAATACTTTATGAAAATCTGTTATATCATTGCAATATTTCACTTGTTCTTGGGGTAGCAGTAAGTTGTAGAAATTAAGTTAATCACTTCAATTATCTTCTGATTAACATAATGATCTTATCATAATAGCTTTGCTGTTATATTAATATTTGAACTTTCAGTTATCAACAATGTATATTTTCTTACCTACCTTATCATATTTCTAATTATTTGTTTTAATGTGAATTTGTAATTGAACAATCTTTATTATTCTTCTAATGAATATCGTTTTTACTCTTCATATAACATGTTCCTATACCGTTTGCTAAACGTTTTCTTCCACCTCATCTAATGAACTTAATCTTTTCAATTCCAAAAGAAAAAACATGAACATTTACTCAAAACACTAGCAACAGCATCAATCAACAACAAACATAATGGTCTGTTAATTACACTTAAACAAAAAAAAAAGTTTTTTGGGTGGCTAGTGCCTTTTTATAATTAACAATGATCTCAATCTTGAAGATTAATGCATATTTTAGAAGACTAAAGCAAATAAGTTTTATATTTTGATCTACCACACTAGTTGATCAGGAAACCATGTTGGTTTTAGTGTTATCATTTTGTTAAATAGCAAACTTACTTCTCTGATGTTATCATTTTGTTGAACAATTGTTAATGTTATCATTTTGTTGAACAACTGTTAATGTTCTTATTTTGTTAAACAACTATTAATGTTCTATTTTTGTTAACAAAAACTCTAACTCTTAGTTCTCTACACAAAACATTTTTTTTCTTGTAAATATGAAACAATTGTAAAGAACATCATTTACAAATAGTGAAGAGGAGTTTGAAATCTATTAGTAAGAATGAAACATTTGGTTTCCTATATTTATCAGTTAAAACATTTACATCTATACAAACATCATTGCAGACCAATTTGAAATTACAACTATAATATCACCGAAAGCTAGATTCACTAGCTTATATACTACAATGCAAGGCCTTGAACTTGATCTCATATAATTATCACCTTCATCAAATTTCTTACCACCTCTTCCTCTTTTTCTTCCTCTATTCTTTGTTCGAGCTGAGGTTTGGTTATAAAATTATTTTCTATTATTTGTTTTATTAGCAACTACTAATAATATGATTGTAACTTTTTTGACCAAAAATATATTCACTCTACAATGAATTAATAAAATTTTACTTTTTTTTCAAATTAAGTTTTAATAATTTACAAAATAAAATATTTTTATTATTCAACACAAAATAACATAAAAATTTAAAAATAATCTCCAAATTATTATAACAATTCTTTCTATAAAAAAATTTTTTTTCAAAAAAATATAAAATTATATAAAATATCCAATATAAATGATTGTAAAAAAAAATGATTAACACATTTTTCTTTAACAATATACACATTAATGAAAAACAACACATTATAAATTATTATAGTAGATTTTTTTGTAAAAAAAAAATACAAAAATATTATAATTTTGATACAAAAACTATAAAACTAATTATTTCAAAAATACAGCCCATATACCCAACCCCCCTAAATAATCTCAAACCATAGGCCATCTTGTATTAAAACAAAATCCAAATACAAAATTTATATTAACCATTAAACCACTCCACATACCACATACCCTACCAAATTCCCTTATCAGAATCAATCCTTTATAAAAAAAAATGGCAACTTAGATTTCTTATCACAGTCAAAATAACATAAATCTCCAGCAACCACTGCAATCCTTCAAATGTTTGGCTCATGAAGATACCATTCAAGACTTCATGGTAAAAATATTTCCAATACAACATTATTTCTTTAAATCATAACCAATTAATTCTTTTGTATTCTTTTTTTATATTTCATTTAAGGTTGCAAATTATATTAACCCATATCTAGTTCTGTCATTTATCTACACTCACAACCATGAAATCTATGAAGATAAAAGAGAAATAGAAAGAATGTTACCATTAGAACATATGCTAGACTACAGATAGAGTCAAAGTAAATATTAGAAATAGATAATATATAAAAAATGGAAAATAAAAAAATTTTGACTTATTTTCTTTTTATTTAATTAAAACCTTAATAATCTCAAACCATGGGCAATTTTATATTAAAACAAAACTCAAATACAAAATTTATACTAACCCATAAAACCACTCCACACCCTACAAACCTTATCAAATTCCTCTATCAGAATCAATCCTCCATAAAAATAAAAAAAATTGTGGCTTAGACTTCTGTTCACAATCAAAACAACAAAAATCTCTAGTAACCATCACAATTCCTCAAGTGTTTGACTCATGAAGATAGCATTCAAGACTTTATGGTAAAAATTTTCTAATACAACCTTATTTCTTTAAATCATAAATAATTAATTCTTTTATATTCCTTTTATATTTCATTTAGGGTTTCATATTATGTTAATCCATATCTATGACTGTCATTTATCTTCACTCATAACTATATCTTGAAATCTATTGAGATCAAAGAGAAATAGAAAGGATGTTACCATTAAAACATAGGCTAGACTATAGGTAAAGTCAAAATAAATATTAGAAATAGATAGTATACAAAAAATGAAAGATAAAAATTTTTTTCTAACTTCTTTTCTTTTTATTTTAATTAAAAATAAAAAAATAATAAATAAACGAAATCAACCTTATATTCTCAACCTTATTACTCAAAGAGAGACAAAGATGTTATTTTGTGATTATAATAGTTACACAGGCAATGTATCATAGTACATTAACTTTGATTTTATTATTATATTATTATATTAACTATTTTTATACTACATAATAAAGATATCATAGAAATGATGTAGGTATGTTGCTTTTAAATACACTGTTAAGCCTTTTAGGTATTTAGTGGGGTTTATGTGGTATTTAGGTTAATATTATTGTCAATAATAAACTTAAAACGGTTACTTTAACTCAAATATTAGCTATTGATATCGTCTACTTTTATATGAGATTCAAGTTGTGAAGGATTTCAAGGATATTCATTTAGTTATTGAGTACACATCATGTAATTGAAAAGAATAAACGGAAGGCCCTTGGCTTTTATTATAGTCAAATGTTTCATAATAAATGGAAAGACTCTAAATGTTTCATTGCACTATAAACATCACATGCATGAACTCTTTGTTTGGTTCATACTTTTGTTTCTTAGCTACTTTTACATTGTTTTGTCTATTTTACCTATAATTGAATAAATTTTTCATGTTTGTTTTAGTTTTTCATTACTGTGTCAAAATCATATATAATTTTAGGAACTTCCAAAGAACTTTACTCAACAATACATGTCAATAGTTCAAACTCTAACAACTCTGCATATAAAAGGTTTTTTGCCTAATACATTTAAGATGGAATTGACAAAAATCAACGATCAATTACACTTTCAAAATGGATGGCACGAATTTGTTAATGCACATCCTCTTAGACAAATTTTAACTTTTACATACAACAATCAAAATACTTTTGAAGCATTCCTGCATCCTAAATCATCAAGTACTATAACAGTAAATGTCCTGCAATAAGAACAGGATAAAATTTTCATTTCATTTACATTATATTTCATTTCAATTCGCTTAAATTATGCTTATTATATTTTGTATTTAAAGTTACAACACTCAATTTGACAGTGTAGAAGATCAAAATGATGACTATTGTGATAATTCTACTTTTCATTGCTTAATGTTCAGTGCAAATGTCAATAGTCATCCTATTTTGGTAAACAATTATGCATATACTATTACCATATAATATATCAAAACATACATTCAAAATTTCTATTAACAATTTCTTATCACATTGTTTCTACAACATATTCCAAACTATTTCTATAAGTATCTGTAAAATAATTATTCTTCTATCACTCTATTAAAACCTAAAGAAAATAAATCTTAAACTCTTCAATACAATGTCAGAAACAAATCCTTCTAAGGAGGATGGAAAAAGTTTGTCATCGATAATCATTTCAAAATTAGCGATTACTGTTTATTTACTATGATAGCATACAACATTTTAAAAGTAATTATCTATCTGACTATGAATAAACTTCTCAATAATCAATTGTAGCTACAAATTAAGTGTTTGATTACAGTTTTTGTTTAACAACTACTCTTTTTAAAAATTTTGTAATTTTAAAATGCACATCTAATATTTTCTATTTAGTTTTATAATAACTTTTTTTTGTCAATTATTTTAACAAACTTTTATGCACTTAACAATATTAACTTTATAGTAAATTATTTTAAATTTTAATTTAATCAAATATTAATTAAATAAAGTGCTAAAAATTAATTTAATACATTGTACAAAATCGAGTCCAATACTAATATAATATAGAAATATATGAAATGTTAAAAATATTGGATTCTAATATTCTTCTAAATTTAAAAGAAGAAAGGGCTAACTTTTTTTTTAACTAACAGCGATAATAATGCTTTGAATATTGTAAAATGTATTTATAATTTTTTTAAAGCTATGTAAAGAGGATTTTATTAAAGTAAAATAGAAAAAAAGGTAAAACAGCACTTTCGAATCAGCACCGTTGAGTTTCAATCAAAAAGTTAGATCATCGTTGAATAAAACCAACCTACTTTTTTCCCTTAGTTATACTTAATAATTGGTCCTTTCTTGCCTGTTGTTTTCTTTAAGAGCACCGACAAGTATTTTATCACTGCTCTCTGACTATGGGATACCAAAAACACGTATGCTTTGCTTAGAAGTACCTTAGCCCCATTTTTTGTTTTACCTTTATTTGCCCTTCCACGGTGTACAATAAAACCCTAATTAACTTTACCTTTTTTTTTCTTTTTAGATTTTTTCCTCAAATTTCCCAAACCCTAACTTTCATTTTCCCTTTCTATTTCTCTCCGATGGCGACGGCGCGTGAGGTGATTACCCCGTACGACGGCGGCTTAGGAGCCGGAGGAAAGTTCAGGAAACGGCCGTTTAGGAGGACAACACAAACGACGCCGTATGATCGACCACCGACCGCAATAAGGAATCCTAGCGGCACTGGCGATAGAATTGGTTGGTTTTCGAAATTGGTGGATCCAGCGCAGAGGCTTATTACCTCCAGTGCTCACAGGCTTTTCGCCTCCGTCTTTAGGAAGCGTCTTCCTCCTCCGCTACCTCACCCGCCGCAAGCGCCGGAGTCAGGTGAGGATTTTTCCGGCTGTCTTTTATTGTTTCTGAAATTAGAATAGCGAAATTTTTTTTTGCTTTTTTTGTGGAAATGTGTTCGTTTAAGTTGCTTTCATTTTTGGGGTTTTCGCTGTGATAGTTTGTTAATATTTTGTTCAGGAATTTGCGGTTTCTGATTGAGGAGGACATTAGGGACCTAGGGTTTTACTTTTGCTTATTCCATTTTGAAAATTTGAGTATAATAAATATCTTCTTATGAATAACAATATTCTTTATAATTGTGCTGTTCTTATTGAAATGAGAGCAGTTTCTTGTTTGTTTTTTTATTCTCCTTGGTTTGTAGTATTTCTTATTAATTGATGTTCTCTTCATTTAAAATGAATAATAACTCCCCAATAACACAAATATAGATGAGAACTAGTACCTAATTAGTCAATGTTGCCTTTAATTGGAGATTAATGTGTTCTTAAAAATTATATTAATGTAAGATGTCAAATATGCTTAAGCATGTACAGTGTTTTACTTCAATTTCTTCTTGCAAATTAATGCTTGGGATATGTTAACCATGAGTAAATTATAGATTGGTGGTTACAGTTTGTTATTCTTTTGATTTCTTTATGTAAGGCATGTTGAAAGTTTACGATACCATTAATTAGGTTTTTCTTTTTTGTGATGTTGATTAAATGTTGCATGTAATAATGTCATTAGAGACTAATCAGGAAGCAAGGGGGAATCCATCAGCAGCAACATCAACTGTAAGTATTCAAGTTACATTGTAAACCTAGTTCTGTTTATGTTCCTGTTAGCTTGATTAAGGATCTCTGCCCAATTATTGTATATTTTTCGTTTTAACATTTTTAGAGCTGAAAAATGAAAAACTATTGATTGCAAACATATAGTGCCATTTTTTATTTTTTATTTTTTGCAAATTTTGAAGATACGGAACTAAATGTTTTTCTTTCTTCAATATAGTTATATGTAGGACATGCTATGTGGTAGTATTATCTTTGCGTTGGGTTTAAAATTCCATTTAGTGCAACACATCCAAGTTCGATCATTTTCATTGGTGGAAGATTGGATTTGTAGACTTGTAGATTGCATTTGGAAAGTTGAATTTGAGAGAAGGGATTTGGATTTCAAATTTAGTATAAATTGTTTGATGGATTACATAAAAACACGACTTTCATGATTATCTTCAAATGCGTGGATTTGTTAGTTCTCTACTTAGTGATAAACTTGAAGTACATATGTCAAATAGGGAATTCATCTTTTTATCCTCGCTCAAATACATAGATGTGTTGAATCTTTAAATAATTTTTACATATTGTGTGCACTTTATCCTAAGAGTTTATTATAACCAACCAAATCCAAATCCATGTTCTTAAATTATGTTCCCAAACGCAGCATTAAACTTTTAAATTGGGTTTAAGTGCAGTTGCACTTGTGAATCAATTTTTAAGGCAATTATACTGTGGCAATGTGAGGGTTTTTTGGATTTTTAAACATTTTCTATTTGCGGTGTTCCTGTTGGTTTTCTGAAAACATTTTTAATTGTCAAATTTTCAATTTCTTGAAAATCCTTTCAGTATATTAAATAACTGTTTTCAAAGAATGAAAATGGTGAGCAATTTTAGTATTGAAATTTTCTTTGTAATACACACTTAAGAATGTTTGACGAACATGAGTAATTTTAATATCCTTAAATTAAGATCCTGTTTGGTTTGTTTGGCACTTCTAGTAGAAGTATTGTTCGAGTGAACTTTTCAAAATTGCTGTAAAGAGAAGTTAAAATAGCGTTTGGCAAATTTTATACAGAAGTTTTGTAGTATGTTGAAAACTATTTTATAATGTTTTAATTTATTTTTAATAATTAACAATAAAAGACAAACTTTATTAAACCAAATAATAAGTTTTAAAATGAAAGAAGTAAATAAGTAAAATAATTGTAATTATTTAAAAATAAAAATAAATTAAATCAAGAGAAAAATTGAAGCAAAGAAAAAGGTGAATGTCAAAAGATATAATTCTCCCTACAATAATGAATTGTTGATGAAGGGTAAAGTAAGAATATAAAAAAATCTGATTAGCAGTTGTTGTAGAAGCTTTGATTTATAGTTTTGTCTGAATACCAATTGGGCTTCTGACATAAGCTATAAATTTTAAAATTTTGAGAGCCAAATGCTTTGCTTCTTCTTTTACAATAGAAAAGCTCTTCTATAAGTTGGGCCTAACACCCTCTAAATTTAAGATTGGACGATACTGACAAACAAATAATAAATATGAGAAAGGTGCATAAAAATATGAAGTAAAACTTGGAGTGAAGATGATTAGTAAATAAAATTTGATTAAACTTGCATATGATCATATGTTTTCACTTGTTTGGCTGGATGAATAAGAAAAAAAAAATTGTCTGTCATAGTGTATGTTTATGTTTATATATTTGTGTAAACGTAGCTTGATGCATGTGTATCTGTTTTATGTTCAATAACAGTCATCAAACTTTGTCTCTAAGGCAAATTTTTATGTGTCAAGGTTAATTGCAATTTACAAAGTGAATCATGTTGGGATCCATTTTTTAACCCATTATGCTGCATACTGCTATACTTTGCTTTATTGGAGATTTGAACTTGAGTAATTTATATGGCTTGTAAGAGCACTGTTTAACCATTCACCATTTTCAGCGATTCCTTCTCATTTTGTTTGTAAAAAGTTTATTCTATTTTTTTTGTTTTAAACAATTGTACTTTTTTCATTCTCATTTTTCAGATAACATTTTCTTTTATACTCACCAAACATTTCTTCACTAGATTTAATGTACTGTAAGTGAAACAGAGAGCACTCATTTTTCTTTTTAAAACTAGATGCATTCTTTTCTTGGTATGCTACTTTTTATTTGGAGCAATAGAACTTAAGTAGTGGGTCACATGCCCTGAATGTTAGGGATAGACTTTGTCCAAAATTCTTATTTCTGTCCTTTATTCATTGTGAATTGTGGAAGTTACTTTCAGGTTATCTGTCTGTCCTTTTTTTTATGGTATTGTTCTTAATTTCCTCTGTGATTTTCTCTATGATAACCCAACTTATATGCTTTGTTGTTTTATGTAAATTTGTCCACACAGGATCCTCCTGTTGTGGAAGGAGCTGTCATGGGATGTGAGAATCCCGGTAATCTTACTGATGAAGGTGGAGTTGCTGAACTTGAGGAAATTTTGAAGCAGAAGACATTTACCAGGCAAGATGATCTTATTGAAATTTGGGGGTTAATTGTGCTACTTTGTTTGAAGGGAACTTTGCCAAATTAAATTGGTGTCATTTACTGTGATAATTTGCATTTGTGATTTTATGCACGCATGCTTTAGGATTCTGAAGTTTCTATTTCTCTCAGTTTCCTTTAACTGGAAGAAAGGGGGGCAAGGATATGCATTGGATTGAATTGCTCCATGCATTTGCTAATTCTAGTTATTCTTGCAACCTTCCTAGTTGGTTACTTTGCAATCTAATTTCCAATTACGTGCTGTTGTCATGCTTTGTGATTTTCATTTATTGCATCAGCTTCGGTGGGAATAAACTTCACTGACCTTAGTTGGGTTGGCTTATCATGTTTCTTTATGTTTGACTAGTGATTCTTCCGACACAAATTTTCTTGATGCTATAGATAATGAATATTATTATTCTTTTGCAGGTCTGAAATTGATCGTTTGACAAGTTTACTACGTTCAAGAACTGTTGATATTCCTGGTGGAAATGAAGAGAAGAGGTCTGAAGTGAATGGGATTGAGAGAGTGGGACTGAGAACATTACATGACAAGAAAGAAGAATTTCCAAAGACCCCAGTTAGAGAGAATGGGACTGAGAACCATCTTATTTCAACACCTGTTGTCAGATCAACTGTAAGGAAAAGTTTGCTTTCCTTCATTTTGCTTTTTGGGTAACATTCCGTCAAGTGCTTTTTGCTAGGTCTGTTTTAATTTCATATATGAAATAAGAAAAAACTTTCCATGGTGTTGCAGGTCCTTGATGAAGATGTTGCTTCACCTGCTGAGCTCGCAAAAGCTTACATGGGCAATAGGCCTTCAAAAGTGTCTGTATCAATGCTTGGATTACACAATCAAATGCCTAGGGGAGATTCAGCTTTGCTGAGCAATAAAATTTTCCCTCCTAAATCACCCACAATGTCACATGTGCCAAGATCTTCTGTCCATGTTGGGAGTCTTGGAAATGGTTTTGTGACCCCAAGATTGCGGGGCAGATCTGCCATATATAGTATGGCGTGGACACCTTATTCCAGGGTTAATTCAGCAGCTGTCCTCAAGGTTCATATGCTCGACAATCACTCTGTTATATAATTGCTTTTTACCATATTTCTTATTCTAGTTGTCTGCGCCTTCCCTAGGGTGCTGGCACGGCAAGTGATGCTTTTGGTGGACCATCATCATCATCTCAGAGTGCGTGGGAGCTAAACAGAATTTCTGGCTCTAGACAAGGGGTAGTAATTGAGGATCACTCTATTTCACTCATTCAGGATTTACTTAACTAGAGAATGTCACAGGATATATTTATTTCCTTTGCAGGTTTTAAAGCACAGGAGTTCAGTATTAGATAATGATATAGGATCAATTGGCCCTATTCGCCGGATTCGTCAAAAGTCTAATCTTCTTTATTCAAAAACCTTAAGTTTACCTTCTTCTGCTGGTCCTCTATATACCCATGTAGCTAGCACTAGTTCAGCTGGTTTAGATGCTATAGGTGAGAATGGGGATAACAGCACTCCTGGCACAAGTTTTACCCCTGTTCCTTCTAAGTCCAGTGAGATGGCTTCAAAAATATTACAGCAACTTGACAAGTTGATCTCCCCGGAGGAAAAATCACCAACTAAGTTGTCACCATCTATGCTACGTGGGCAGGCTCTTAAAAGCCTTGAGAATGTAGATTCTTCAAAATTTCTGGAGGACATGAATGAGAATGACAAGTTGAGTGCTTCTCACACTGCACTGCCTGATATTCGAGACTGTATGTCTCACAAGCATGACAAGGTTAAAGAAAATGGGTCAACAACATTGGTTGCGCTGCCTGACAAGTCAGATCCTGCTGTAAACGGTGTAGATACTGATAGTTTAATGAAGGATGTCAATGAGCCTAGTGTTAAAGCCGCTGATTCCACTGTAGTCAAGTCTGTTGTACAGCTATCTCAACAAAAGAGATGGGCTTTTCAGATGAGTGCACATGAGGTATGCATTAATGGGTAAACAGATATAATTGATGTCTTATATCATTTTCGGTTATGATTTTTTTTGTTGATCAAATAGAGCAAAGTATTAATGATCAAAATTCCTCCTTTACTTTTGCCTATCAAGTGCTATTGTTTTGATTCAAAGATGCCAGAAGAAAAGTCTTTGTCAAATGCTTACTTTTGGATTGAGAATGGAAATTTATAAGCTTGACATTTTTTGTTCTGTTTCCATTTTTATCACCTTAAAAGTTTATGCTCTGTGTCACAGGATCTGGACCTGGATGATGATGACTATCCTGATGGAGCTGCATCTGCTACATTTGGTGAAGGGAGAGAGAGGTTGGATAATTGTGTCATGCTGAGTAAGAGTGCTGCTGCTGAAGCTATATTATTAGAGAAGCCTTCTAGTCCTTCTGAAGTTAAGCCTATTTCAAGTTCTGCATTTAACAAAAAACCTGATTTGAGAATTTCTGCTGGATCAGCAGTTGTTGAGAACAATGCCAGTATTACTTTTTCAGTTGCACAGGTGGCCACTTCATCTGTGCCAGCAGCGTTGTTGGTATCTCAGTCAACCTCAACAGCCAATAAAGATGCTGTCTCAAACGTACCAAAGGCCACTTCTCCTATGTTTAGCTTTGGGGAGAAAGTTGCTTCAGCAAAGTGGTCAGATGCTGCTGCTTCCACATTTGGCTTTGCCTCTACAAATGTTGGTGATGTTTCTTCAGCTAGTGGATCTGTAGCTGTTGAGCTTGCCACAAGTTCAGACCAAAAACTAGAGAACTCAAGCAGGTTGGTAAACATGCATTACTAAATATTTCTTGCTTGGAAGGTCATTTACTTCTGGCTTGTCTTCTCAATATTGGTCTGAATGGAATCACTAATAGTGGGTTGAATGGAATAGACTAGGGGTTAATTGATTGAAAGGGAATAAAAGGTTACCCTGTAACCTACTATGTTTGAGAGTTCTTCCTTCTAACTTCGCCTTTAAATTCTGTGAAATCCACCTGATCTAAAACTAGAGTATAACATTAATGATTTCTGATTGGAATCCTGTTTTTTACCCTTCAAAATTTATTTTAATAATGATTTCATGTCAACGCATGCTGTTAATAATGCATAAAACTCTATCATACAGTTCTCTTTACTCTCAAACAAGGTAATGGAAAGTTGTTTCTCTACTTATTTTTCTTAAGTTCCCACCCATTACCTTACACCATCTTGGGGGTAAGAAGAAAAAGAATTGAGAAAATTTTTGTCATTAGATCGATTAAAGCTGCTACTGTGACTTTTAGGAAATACAACAATCAAGATTATAATAATTGACATTTGATTGTTATAATTCTTGCATAACTTATGATAATGACCTTCAATTGTTAGAATCGTTAATTTATGTAGTTGACTTTCAACATAGTAGTTTTCAACTTTAGATTTAATTTTTTGTTGATTTGATATTTAGCTATGCATGATAAGGTTGAGATAATTTGACAAAAGGTAAGCTTTCACTGTATATAAGCATGTCAGGTGGCAGATTATCTTGAACACTCATTGTATCATCTGGTTAATCAGCTTTATCATTTTGACTGTTGCATATATGTTATTTGCAGTTATAAGTATTAAAGCCTAATCTTTCTTTTGTTGGTGGAAATGTAATATTCCAAGATGAGGATGGGACATGGGAGGGTTGGGGTATAGTGTAAACAGTATAAATGATTTTGTATTGGCTTACTTTAAATTACAGTGATATCTTTTGTAAAGACAACGATATCTTTTGTAAAGTCATTAAGTGTACAATTTTGAAAGGGTTAATTACATATTTGGTGCTCGAAATGTAATCAAATTCTCTATTTAATACCTAAAGTTTGAAAATTCAAAATTTGGTACTTGGAAATTTGCTTCTGTCCATCTATTTGCACACAAAACTAACACTAGTAAAATGATGTGTCTCAAATAAATAAGAACATGCTACATTTCTCAAAATGCCATGTGTCACAATTTTATTGGATGTTTGGATATTTCCGTGTTTGACTAACAGTTTGTCTCATGTGCAAACTGATGGATGGAAGCAAATGTCAAATACTTAATTGCTAGTTTTTAAACTATAGGTACGTAATAAAAGATTTGGCTATAATTCTCATCAAATGTGTGATTAGCCCATTTTAAAATTTTTTATGGTTAAATTAGTAAGCTATGACTTTTCAAATAGTAGTAATAATAGATGAATTTCTAGTAAGAAATGAAAAGGTCTGTATACTTAATCAGTATAGTTGACAAAGGTTTTTATAAGATTTAGTTTCTGTTTGGTATCTCCGGTCACCTCCCCTCTTCACTTTGCTAACATTAAAAAAAAAAAAAAATTGTTTCTTCTAAACACAATGAATGACTAGTATATATTGTTTACGCAATGATTGATCAGTATATAAGGTTTACTTCTGGAGTTTTATTCATTAAAAGTTTGCTGTTTTATCTGCAGCTTTGCTACTATTGCTCCTGGAACAACCAATTATTTGTCAGATAAAACTGATCAGGAGAACACTCTGAATGGGATCTTTGTCAGGACACCCGAAACTGCAATATCCTCTGCTGTATCAACTTCGACATCAGCTGGAAGCAACTTCAAGTTTGGTGCCTCAAAAAATAGTTCTACTTTGAATAATGGGTCTCTTGCTTCAAGTCCCTTTTCATTCTCTTCACCGATGCCATCTCTAGTCCCCAAAAATGGTCAAAGTTCATTCAGTAGCTCTACCAACTATATGTCCGTCACCACCAATAGTGACACTTCTGCAGCTGCCACGACTTCCACTACTACCAATGTCACTGTCAGCAGTACGAGCAGCCCCTCTATGCAGGCTGGCCCTTCCTTTGCAGCAGAACCTGTTTTCAAATTTGCATCCTCTGTGGATCCATCAACTTCAGTTTCAACATTATCAGCAACTTCAGGAGAAGCAACTGAATCTAAGACCCAGGATACAAGCTTCAGAAATGTGGCCATTGTTCCTTTTGGTAGTACATCTGCTTTTACTAGCGCTGGAAGTAATATTTTTGGTGCTACATCTGCAGTTACGGACATTGTGAGCAGCACTTCTGGTTGTAGTACAGCTGTAGTCACAAGCTCTGGAAATAGCAGTTTCATTGGTACGTCTTCCACTGTCACAAACTCTGAAAGTGGCTTTTTCAGCAGCACATTTTCCACAGTGACAAGTACAGGCAATGGTATCTTTGTTGGTACATCTCCAACTGCAGGCGGAAGCAGTAGTGTTTTTGGTGGTGCATCTTTGTCAATACCTAGTACTGGAAGTAGTATTTTTTCCACTACTTCTTCAGTCACAAGCGCAGGAAGTAACATCTTTGGATTCAGTGCTCCAGCTGCATCAACATCAACTGCACTGACTCAGGGTTTAAATCTTTTTAATGCTGTTAATACCCAATTATCTGCAGCTGGAACTGGCATTGGTACCTCAACTCAAAGCATGCCCATTCAGTTCTCTTCATCTGCATCATCTCCATCATTTGGACTGGCTGGGAATACAACTTTTTCCTCTGGCGGTTCAGTGTTTGCGTCATCAGCATCTGTAGCTAAACCTTTTGGTTCAGGGGCTACATTTGGAATGAGTTCTTCCTCTTCAGAAACCAACACTCTGAGTTCTAGCAGTGGCATTGCTTCTGGCATATTTGGTTCCAACTGGCAAGCCCCTAAGACGCCCATATTTGGTTCTTCATTGTCAGGGTTTTCCTTTGGATCATCAGCTTCTATTACTTCTCCTAGCAGTGCACCTACCATGTTTGGGTCATCCACTGGTGCCTCTTCAAGTTCCTTATTCTCATTCACTTCAGCTGCAGCTGCTACTCAATCACAGCCTGTGTTTGGTAACACTAGTCCTGGATTGGTGTTTGGGTCAACCCCCTCTAGCAATAATGATCAAATGGAGGACAGTATGGCAGAGGACACAGTTCAGGCTTCTCCACCAACTGTTCCAACGTTCGGCCAACAGCCAATCTCACCACCTGCATCTGGGTTCATTTTTGGTGCATCAAATCCATCAGGAACAAGTTCTCTCCAATTTGGAGGCCAACCAAGCATAGCAACACAACAGAATCCATCTCCATTTCAGGCTTCTGGTAGTCTGGAATTTGGTGCTGGAGGGAGCTTCTCTTTGGGCTCTGGTGGCGGTGACAAGTCTGCCAGAAAATATGTGAAGGTCCGCAGGCAGCGGAAGAAGTAAAAAGGTCTAATTATGGTACAGAACTGTTTCATGTGAGAGATCTTATGATTGATTGAATAATTATCAAGGCAGAGGAGAAAAACACCCGCTGATTGTTGCTGTATGTGGTAGTCATCTGAAATTATTTAGTGCCAGCAGAAGGGTTGACTGGTCACTTGGAACTTTGGGAATTGGTGCCGATTCTGGTTGTTCATTTACAGTTTTCCTCGTTTTTTTTGGGGCTGGTGGCAAGGTTGTAACAATTTTGTATGTTCTTCCTGGTAAAATTTGAGAAAACATTTGTACTGTACTATTGTATAATTAGCTGATCGATTTTCAGGTTTGAGCAAATGTGCTTCTGACCTTGTTCTGTGTACCCGTATTATATGTAACATAAAAAAACAATGAAATTGGTTATGAATTTCATTTTTAGAGAGAATCTCTTGTTAGTTCCTTCTCTGCAAGAAGTATCACCAATGGAATTGTCTTGCCAAGTCTGGTATCATCAGTTTCTGATGTCTCCAACTTGCTAATTATCTCTTTAAGTTGCTGACAAGTAACCTAAACTTAATAATCAAATTACATTAAAATCTATTAAAACTGTAAAAAGAATACAAAGAAATAAGGATCGATATGTTCTACTTTTGTTCACATACAAAGCTCCTTTTAATGAGTCAAAGAATGATGTATTCTCAACTTTTGTCTCCTCAGGAACATATTGAACATATTGACGTTGCTTGCAATCTGGTTCCTAGTTTGTTGAGCTTATACTGTTTCCATAGCACTGTCGACTTTTTCTCTTTTCGTATGTTTTGGAACGTCACTATTAGGATTTGAACCTTTATTAAAGAAATTAAAAATTCGAAATTCTATTAACGGATTAATTATTTATATTTGAATCTTAATCATTAAAATTAAGAGTTCAATTTAAATCTTACTCATTGAATTTAAAAATTTAAAATTTTACCGACAGATTATATGACAGTTTTTTTTTAAATATATATATATCTGTTAAAAAATATTTTTTCAATTGAAAAAGAAAATTAAACTAGTAAACAAAGGGTTAAATTAAAATAGTAAACAAAATACAAAGTTAACATGCCAAGAAAAGAGAATAGTTCCTGCAGTGTTCCATCCATTTCTCTCCCTTGCTTCCCTTACCACCCATTTTAATGGTACTAATTGCAAACTTTGTTGAGAAAATTAGGCTTCAAATGCCACTCTAAATTTTCTTCCATCGTCAAATGAAATTACCAAACAAACTTTGGTTAATTTATAAGTCTCTACAGCGATACTATCGAGGATTTATCAAAATCTTTTAGATGCATTAAAACATCTTCATATGATTTCTAAAGCATTAATGTAACGCATCATAACATTTAATTTTAATTAAAATCAGGCTTAGTTGTTTTCCATCACGAGTTACTTGTATGCCCCTGAGGGTTTTAGGTAGATCATGATAGAGACAATTCTTTTAAATCAAATCAACTGGAGGAATTTTATTTAAAAGTTTAAAATTGTATTACATAACTCAAATATATAAATTTAAAAAAATTTGAATAATTTTTTTTGGGCCAAGGAATAAATTTTGATACTTTTTTTAAATAAATATTTTATTAAAAATTATGAAAAATTTTTGTTGGAATATTTTAAAGGTTTTACAAGTTGAATTGGTTTTCCAAAACCGTGCTTTTAGCTAGTGATTTATCTATTCTAAAATCTTGATTTCATAACCATTATAACAAGATTTTATAAAAAAAAAAAAAAAGATTTAATTTTTTTTGGTGAATAGAATTTTTTTTATTAATTTTATTCATGTTCTGAATAATTATTTTAAACAGAAGGGATAATTTCCCAATAAACTCTCGAACTCAATAATAAAATTAGCCCTTGATTTTTTATTATATGAAATCAAGATTTTTAACTTTATTTTATTATAATTAAAACCTTGACAATATAAAATATTCATTTTTGGTTAAAATTTCTTTAGTTAGATGATTAAATTTATAAAAGGTACTTATTTAGATTTATTTGAATGAACTAAATAACAAATATTTGAAAAGATGCTATTTTAAAATTTTGTTAATTGAATGTCATTCATCCATTTTAAGATTTAATGGGTATAATTAGAAAGAAATAAAACTTAATAACTTTAATTTCATATAATAGAATACCATGGTTTATTTGCGTTTCTTAATAAAGTTTGAGGGTTTATTTGAGCATTAAACCTAAACAAAATTATTTATTTATAAGAATAATTGTATTTGAATAGAAATAATTATTTATAATAGCCATATAACAAAAGAGTTATAAACTATTCATCAACGATAAATAGGTCATACGCATAACAATAATTTGAATCATGTTAAATTAAGACATTTAAATTATCAACATATGAATTATTACATAACGTATTAGAAACATTTTGACATTACATATGAAATCTGTACATAAGTAAAAATGACTAAGAAATATTTTCCTAACTTAGAAAGAAATACACAATTATTAGAAATTGTCCATTATGATAATTTTGAATTAAATGGTTTGTTAACTAGAGGCAGAAAAAGATACTTCATAACATTTATATATGGCAGCTTGCTCAAAATATTGTCAAATAGTGAAAGATATTTAAATTATTTTTAAATTTAATCAAAAGATTGAGAAACTAATGGATAGTAAGCTATAAAATAGCTTTGGAAAGGTTCCATGAACCAAAAAAATCGATTCAAGACATGGAAAGAATCAATAAGTGAAGACTAGCTGTAGATTAGTCAATTGCCCATACAAGAAAAGTCGACTGCCCATAGTTTATAGAAAGGAAAACTGATTAAGAATTTACGCTAGGCAATCAAATGTCTAGCTAAAGATAGTTGACTACTCTGTTTAAGAAAGTCTTATGTTTCATAATTACAGCAAGGCAGTTGAATGCCTTTTATCGGGCATTCGACTACCTTAATGTTGAAAAGACTTATGCAACTAAAATACAAAAGGAAAATCGATTGCCTTTGTAGAGAAGTCGATTGCAATAGATAGAAAAACTTGATTCTTTGCTGAATCAACAAGTTTTTCTCCTGATGACTTGTAACTTTTCAAAAGAAAATCTTTCAATGTTCGCTAAATGCAACTATTAAGTTCCAACATGTGTTCTTACTTAATATAAAAGATTGTTGATAGAATCAACACATAAAGGGGCGCAACCTTTGGATAAAAACTTTATAAAGAGATATGGTAAAACAAATTTTTGTATATACCAACAATTGAAAACAATCTGATATCTTCTCCCTTTCTCTTGCAAAATAGAAACAAATTTTTTAGACATTATTTGCTACAGAACATCCGTAAGACAAGATATTTATATTTTTTTTATCAAGAGTACTGTTTAGTAGTTTGATATCACAAGTGTAAAATGATTTCAAATAAAGCTTTGTTTTATGCTTAGGCTATTTGATTAAACGCCTATTGCATACCATTACTGGTACTGATGAAATCAGCCTAAAGGAAAGCGGCATTTGTTGCATGCCTTAAAGCCATTTCCTTTGTAGCATTTGATTTTCCATTTTGGTGCCAATACAGTACTACAATCGGTGCAAGAGTTTTTCATCAGCAACCAAGACTTGAAGAAATTGTACAACAATCTTTGCGTTTATTTTCTCCTTTTGATCAAGCACAAAGTGGGGAAACTCAATTCTCTAAGAGAGATGCCAACCAATTTCCAAAAGTTGGAAAGGTTTGATAGAGGTAACTTTAAAGGTGGCAAAAAACTATGCGTATTCTTCTGACCATATTAAACATTGCTTATATCCTCACAATTCCCAAAACCAAAAGCGAAGGAAAAAGAATCAAGTGTTGAAATTTGTAAAAAGCAAAAATAGGAAAACGATAACTGTACATGTATGGGATGCATTTTAAATGGTTTGTTTGATTCACGTTTTGATACATACATTTTTAGTACATCATCAAAAGAGTTATGGGATAAATTGGATGCAATTTACGAGGATACAACTAGTAAAAATTTCCTAGTGACATAAGGTGGAATATGTATAAAAGGGTTGATACAAAACTTGTCAAGTAATAATTTGCAGAAATTGAAATTATCCTTAACAAAAATAAGATTGAAATGGATGAATCTTTCACTGTATCATCAATCATTGATAAAATCCCATCAACATGGAATGACTTCAATAATGTTGGGCTAAAAGCCTCCAATCCAATCACACCAGCGGAAGCGAAATCAAACAATAAATCAAACACACAAGAGACAACAATTTAACGTGGTTCGGTCCAACTGACCTACATCCACGGATGAGAAAAAAGATCCACTAGTTGTAGAGAATTATAAACATACATCAAATCATCAACCTCACTCAACAATCAATACTCATAAGACACTTTCAATCTCCTCTAGTCCTATGAAGTATTCTCTACCCAAACAAACATAAATCCAAACTCTTGTGCACCCTTTCAACACAACCAAACACATACCCATATGTTCTCATACATCATACCTACCTTTCAATCTCCTCTAGTCTACTCATAAACAAACAAACATATACACTTATAAGACGTAGAGCCCCAATACTCCTATGGGGTGTCTATCTCACAAAACCCTACAACTCTCTTACATCTTTTTCTCATACCTAACCCTGTAGAGACTTCACCTATTTATAACCATACAAACTTGCCCATTAAGAATCCCTCTCCTCTTAGAATTCTTCTCCTGTAAGTCAAACTTGCCTATTAAAAATCCCTTTCCTTTTAGAATTCTTCTCTTGTAAGTCAAACTTACCTATTAAGAATCCTCTTTCTCTTCGAATTCTTCTTTTGCAAGTCTTCTTGTCCATCAAGCAATATCCGACAAATCTCAAACAAATATCTAACAAATCCCAAATAAATCTCTTATGGGATTTGAGTCAATATTCCTAACAAATAGAACTTAAAAACACAAAAAGGATGACATCTCTCTTAAAAAGCTTGCAAGTCATTTTCGAATAGAAGATCAATATCATAAGGAAAACAAAAAAGAAAATGATGCTCGTGTTTCTAAGGTCCATGTGGCGGAAAAGGATAAACTCTCAAAATTCATAGAAATGAAGGAACATTCTGTTGATGCTAAGGAACTCAAAAAGAAGGTAACATGATTTCATTGTGAAAAGCTAGGACACTTTAAGAAGAATTATCATATTTTCAAAAGGAAGAAAGATATATCCATGGAAACCAATGACAACTTTGTTGTCATAATTTCTGAAGTTGATATCATTAAATATAAAGAAGCATGGGGGATTAACTTTGGAGCCATAAATTACTTTTACAAATGTATTGTATGTACCAAAAGTTAGGAAAAATTTAGTGTCCACTAGTATGCTTAACAAATTGGTTTCAAATTAGTGCATGAAGAGGACAAATTTATATTGTCAAAAGATGTCATTTTTGTGAGAAAGGGCTATGCTTATGATAGCATAT